GTCATATTGAGGAGGGAACAAGCTTGTTTTCTGCTGTTCCAGAGAACAAGACCCAAAGCAATTGATGCAAGCTCCAGGAAAAGAGATTCCACCTTAACATTAGGAGGAACTTCCTGACTGTAAGGGCTGTTCGACAGTGGAACACACTCCCTTAGAGTGTAGTGGAGTCTCCTTCCTTGGAGGTCTTTAAGCAGAGGCTGGATGGCCATCTGTCAGGGATGCTTTGATTTTGAGTTCCTGCATGGCAGAGGGATGGACTGGGTGGCCCTTGTGGTCTCTTCCAACTCTATAATTCTATAATTCTATGATTCTATGAAAAGCAACACAGATTTTAAAACTTCAATAAAAGTATAATATGTTTGCTTAAAAGACAGTTAAACAATTTATAAAGTTACAAACATTAAAATTTATCAAAATACTATTTCTTGTTGTTGTTGTTGTTAATTGCCCTTGAGTCAACTTCGACTCATGGCGACCATATGGATGAGACACCTCCAAGTTCCCCTTGTCCTCAACTGCCCTGCTCAGATTCAGCAGGCACAGGGGCATGGCTTCTTTGACTGAATCTATCCATCTAATATGCATCCCTTCTCTCTTTCTACTACCCTCCACCTTTCCTAGCATTATTGTCTTTTCTAATGAGCCATGCCTTCTCATGATGTGGCCAAAGTGCGACAGCCTCAGTTTCGTCATCTTGGTTTCCAGGGAGAGTTCAGGCTTGATCTGTTCTGGGACTCATTTGTTTGTCCACAGTATCCTCAGCACTCTTCTCCAGCACCACATCTCAAATGAGGTGATTTTCTTTCTATCTGCTTTCTTCATTGTCCAACTCTCGCATATGTACATGGTGAGGGGGAATACAATGGCTTGGACTATCCTTACCTTAGTGTTAAGTTTTATATCTTTGCACTTTAGGATTTTGACTAGTTCTTTCATAGCTGCCCTTCCCAATCCTAATCTACTTCTGGCTTCTTGACTACAGCCTTTGTTCAGGTCAATGATGAATCCAAAGTATGAGAAAATTTTGACTGTTTCTACTTCTTCATTGTCTATATTGAATGTATGTATATACACCAATAAAACAGCACAGCACAGCACATCATTAAATGTTCATCCTAGTCAGTATCTAAAAGCCTATTTTGACTTGCCTGTGGAAAGACAGTTATTACTATAACAAGTCCTATGTGGGGATGCCTTTGAACAGTGCAGCAAAACTTCAGTTGGCCCAAAGAGTTTGTTAACTGGGGCTCGCTACAGCAAGAATACAATTCCCTTTTTCTAACAGCTCCACTGATCTGTTTTCTGGCACATTTTATAGTGCTGGTAAATGAATACTAGGTATTGTGGACTATATTTCAGAGGAAAGAACAGGCAAAACCACCTTGGGCAAGTCACACTCTCTCGGCCTCAGAAGATGATAATGACAAACCCCCTCTGAAGGCCGAGCAGGGATTCAAACCCTGCTCTCCAGAGTCACAGTCCCACACTCGAACCACTATGCCACACTGCCTCATTTGGGTTTCTACGGCTAGTACATAATTATATACAACTGTAAAATTCTTCCACAATAAAACCAAAATTTGAACTTTAACAAAATTTAATCAGAAAGGAAAAGAATATCGTAATTAGACTGAAACAGAATTATGGTTATTAAAAAAAAAAACACATTAGTGCGTATTAAAATGGTTTGCATCCTTTACATGGTTCAATTAAATTTTCTACCAGAGAATAAGCATGCTATGACTGAAAAGCTATTAAGCAGATAACCCTTCCCAGGGAATATGCCCAAGGGGGTGGCGTATTGGTGACTCTATCAGCCAGGACCAGCTCAGCTGCAAAGTGGTGACCTTTCCAGTTAAATTTACCAAATCATCATCTGACATGAAACATTACTCTTCTGAATGGCCAATCTGCGATCTTGAAAGGCTTGCACAAACGATGCCTCCTGGGCAAAAGGCCTGAAAAATGGCAGATCCCATCTCCTGCTGAGCAGAATGAATGGGACTCTCTCTCCCTGGACTAGTGTAAACTGAGCTAGATAGCCAATAGAACCACCACCTCTGCATCCAATGTGGCATTCGGTTAGGCTCATGTTAACAGCGAGCCAATGCCTTGATGCCTCTGGGGATGCGCTGGACATGCCTGTAATTTCCAGGTAATCAATTAACATGCACAGGAGTTTGACACAGTTAAAACAGATGGGGCAAGATTTGTGTTGCAATGTGCGGGGAAAGGAAAGGGCTAAAATCATGCAATAGCCCTGGCAAAATCAGTCACTCCGACACATGCTCAAACACAACCTGACACCAATGGAAAGGAATTCACTGCCTCTGTTGCCAACACAACCTCAGTCCTGTTCATTTCCTTCCCTTTCGACATAGACATGTGAAAAATCTGCATTTTCACCCTATGTTCTGTGAGACCTTTTCTTCATTCCCACACAGATATGTGCGTTTTTTGCATTTTGATCCACATTTTCCTTAATGTGTACACATTTTTAACATATTGCATACACCTGTGTATACGTCGACCTCGTGTATCCAGCGAGGGCAGGCTTGGGGGCCAAAATTATGGGTTTTGATATGACCTGTGGATAAGTCAAAGGGGAAACTTAGGGGCATGTAACAATGAATGAAAAGAATGGAGCAAAAGAAAACAATGCCTAAAGAACTTATATAACTGTTTGTGCTCACCCTAAAGGCTGGATAGATGAGGTGCGAACTAGTTAATAGTGGCTGTGCAATATGTAGGAGAGGCAATCAGCCCCAGGCAGGGCTAAAAAGATGTAGATATGTCTACTCTCATGATGCTCCTTTGAGGGGAAGTGCCAAAGAACCACTGCACCATCCTTTTCCTGTCCAGGTATTCAAGACGCTCAGAAGGGATGCTCAGGTGGAGAGACTATCAGGGAGGACGATCTGTCCTTCTTTTAGGTTCTCCAGGGTTCACCACTCTACTCGGAGGAAGAGATGGTTCCTTTTTTTTTTTATAAGACTTAAGGTGTAGTACCTAGAATGAACCGTGGATAAGTAGCCCAGGTTTTTTGGGTTGATCTTTTGACTAAAAGTTCTAGACAAACACAGGAGTATATACAGTAGTTCTCATGCACATCTCCTGTTGTGTAAACCATGTCTATGTTCATTTTTAAAACACAAACATTTAAAATGTTAGCAGATATACAGTCACCCTCCCCTTGAGGTCTGTGGTTTTGCATATTCATGGAGGGGCGACTTCTGTTAAAATCAATGTGGCATGCCCCCATGGGCGTGCCCCATTCAAGCCTATGGGGCTTGAGTAATTGGCAAGTCTCCATTTTTGTGCGGGGTCCGAAACGGATCCCCCGCAAAAACGGAGGGGCAACTGTATTAGAAAACCTTATATAATTTGTGGGGTTGTCATAAGCCAACAGGGGACCTAAAGGCACATAATACACATATTTGGATACAGACAAGTTGGATGTTTGGATATAGATAAGAATACAGGCAAGTTGAATTGGGTTCAGAGAAGGGCAAAAGGATGATAAGAGGTATGGAGAACAAAATATATGAAAAGTTGAGGGAGTTGAGCATCTGAACCTGCTGAAGAGAAGATTAAGGGTGACATGATGTTTGCACTTTTTAAATATCCCAAGGGCTGTCACAGAGAGGAGGGTGCACATCTGTTCTTACCTGCCCTAGAGGCTAGGACTAGGTCTAAAGGGTTTAAGCCCAATTAATCCTCTACCATCCTACATTTCTAGGTATTTATGCAATGCTCAATTTCTCTCTCCTCCTCCCTCATCCTCCTTTTTTCCCTCAGCTTATTTCAATTGCTGCAAACTGAGTTCCAAGTGCAAGAGGAGTTTGCACTCGATTAACTGGTGAGTGCCACTAGTGGGGTGCGAGGGATTTGGACCACACCAGGTGACACCACTGTTCCTCAAACATCTGCAATTGGGTAGAAATGGACTGTGACACTCTCCTG